AAATGATGAAAATGATGAAAAGAAAGAAGAGAAAGAAATAAAAGGCAGAAACTGGGAGGTAATAATAATGAAAAGGAGATGAAAGTAGAGGGTGGGAGGGTAAGTTGGGAGTGAATCTGTATAAATAGTCTTTTATGGTCAAGGATATTGGAAGCGAATCTAATTTAATAATAACATTATTCCTTGTTATTGAGTTAAACCAGGTAAATGACTTTTCAGTTGAAAAGCATTTAATTTTGCTTCACTTTTTTCTTCAACAGATTTTTTCTCTCTTCTTCTTCCAACATTATCATAATCACTATTATATTTATTATATTCACACGGTTTCCAAGTGTACAAATATGATAATATAATAATTAGGGAATGAACGGCGAAAGAAGAGGAAAAAAAAGTAACTCAAAGAACCACAAATTGGCTTCTAATTAGAAACTGATTGTTGTCATTTATGCTTCAGGTAACAGCTTCTCATCAACTAATATGCAACATTTTTTCATTAAGTTATCATGATGATGATGATGATGATAATGATGATGGTTACATGGTTATTTAATGTTGAGCCATTTTCAACTCGTTTGAAACAAAGATCTATATGATAATGGAAGTTGATATTTTTGGGAAAAAAGTGATTTCCAGTTTAATAACAATCATAAGGATAATAATGAGCCTAATGCAAGTTGTTATGAGAAGAAATTATTTTTTTTTGGTAAACTTTGAATTTCGTTGAATGGTGAATGGTTCAATGAGCGTTATTGTTGAATATTAATTTGAGAAAAGGATTTAAGTCACACTTTTCTCACTTTTCACTTGATATGTAAATTACAAGTTATTAATTTCAAGACTGATGGTCAAGTTGAGAGGCAATCTGAATGTCAAATCCTTTTCATAAACTTGCATTTTCATTACACCGACCGCAAATGGAAAGTTGAATGGAAAGTTGAAAGTTGATATTTCCTGTAAAGGAAAAGATGAAGCTAAAGATGAAGATAAAGATGAGGATAAAGAAGCACAAAGGCTGTTCATTTGCTGTCTTCCGTTTACCTTGTTTGTATTGCGTTTTAGGTCAAGAGGAGCTTCGGTTAGAGCTTCTGTAAAGAGTCCAATTTTCCGTTCAATTGAACGGATTAACTGCTTAGCTTATTATTATCATTATTTAGCGATACTTAGTCAACTTGGTTGGTCAAAACGTAATTAACGAAATTGATTTTCATTGTGAATGCCTTTTCACTGAATCAAGTTGAGTCAATGTTTCCCTTCAATATTGTTATCATAATGTATATCAACATATCATTGACTATTCACCAAACCTAAACGATTAATAACAATGTTTATGTTACAGATTATTTCAATTCTCGAAAAGTAGTTAACAATTGAATAAACTAACCATTATTAACCTTTTGATTTGCACCTTTCATCAACTCTTTCCTTCACCGGTTTACCTGTTTACCTTTGTTTGTTTACTTTCTGCTTCATTCCGTCCAAATGGTTAACTTTGAAACATTGAAATCCTTTTGTTCCAGGTTAACCAAGCTTGAGACGAAACATTCATATCAATTACTTTTCACACCTTAACACCTCAACTTGTCAACATGTTGAAACATTTAAGAGATTAAAGGAAAGGGTTGATTCATTGTTACCTAGCAAATCTCGATTCAAAGGTCGATGAAAATTTCGACTCAAATCGACTTATCGAAATATTTTTCCTTCTTTTCTAACAATAATAATTCAAAATCTCATTGACAATGAGAATGGATAAAAAGAGCGAATAATCGATGTTCATGATTCATATTAGTAAATACAATATTCCATGAAATATTCCTTCAAATTTTCGATCTTTTCTCTTCTCTCTCCAAACTCGAACCATTCATTCATTGATTCATTTATTATTATTATTATTGCTTTTATTATTATCGATATTATTATTGTTACGTTTATTATTATATTATTGTTGTATAGTAAATGTAATATCTTTGGTCCATCATCATTGTCCAGCTGCTTTTGATAGTTTTTTATCCTCAAAATCATTTCATGTTCATTTTTCTCTTTTCTTTCCTTCTTTTCTCAATTTTATCATTTTTCTTGGAACTTTTCTTTTCCCTTCATTCTCATGAAAGAAAATCAGAGAATGAGAAAAAAAATCGAGAAGAAGAAAAAAATGAAGCAAAGAAAAGCAAACTTTTCACCTCAATTGCAAGTCAATGTAAACCTTGTACTAAATTGTCGAGAAAATCAAGTTTAAAAAGATATTAGAACTCGATTTAGTCGATAATTTTGTTGCTTCATCTTCATCATGAACCAATTTAAGATGGAAAATGAAAAGGCGTGAAAATGGATGAAACATTTTCTTCCCTTCACTCCAACCATGAAATCAAACTTTTTTCATTATTCCTGTAATTTCCTCACTTGATCAACTTTCCTTGTTAACCTTAAAGGTAATTGAAATAATTGATTATTATCTTTCATCTTTACCTTTTCAATTCATTGCCTTTCATCTTCATCATTTCCATTCTCATCATTCCCTTGTCGTCAACTCTTTAATTCATTCTGCTTCTTCCTCAATACCAATCAATCTCATCTTAACCTTAGCTGTAGTTGACACTGTTGAAGGAAGATGAAGAAGAGGAAAAAAGCAGAATGAGGTAAGGATGATAAAAATGAGAATGATGAGAATAATTATTCGACAACAATGGTTGTCGGTGAAAGGGAAAGATGAGGATGAAAAGTTGAGTGTTTAGTATTTACGAGACAATTAGCTTTTCATCCTTATCATCATCCAATATGAGAGGAAACTGATATGTCAAATAAACGTGACAATCCTCATTAAATTGAATCTCTTACATCATTAAGTTTCTCCTTTTCATTTCAACTTCAATTGTTATTGTCCTTTGCAAGGAAACAACGCAAACTAAAATAGTACTACAATAATAGTTATAATAACAATAATAATAAAAATAATCATAATCGTAATCGTAACAATAATAATAAAAAAAAGTGTAATTCAAAGGGTTTTGAAACAAAGAGAGAATCTAATAAACATAAATTGAATAAAAGTATTCATTAACAAGTTCATTTCAATGCAATGTGCAGCTTTTGTTTTTTAATCAAAATTTAACCTTAAAGGTTGGTCCATTAACTTAATTGTGCCGATTGTGATCTTTGTTCAGATCATTTTCAATTAAGGTCATGTTAAGAGTGATTATATCGATAATTATCGATTGTTTTTTTATTGTTAGTTAATTGAATCAGTGAAAACCTATTTACAAGGATTGAGATGATTATTTAAAAACTGTAAAATGTAAATTTAAGTGTAAATGGATCGATATGTTTTGAGTTTATTTTACAAGTTTTGCTTTTTCCATTATGTTTGTACATTTATGATTGTATCATTGGTGGGTTAACAAGTCTAATAAAATCAGTTTGATCTTTCATTAATTATCTCAGTTGGATATAACAGCAACTTCGCTAACCATTAACAATTAGGCATGAATTCGAAGAGCTTGATTAATGTATTGAAATCGACGAATTTAAACAACAGAGTACAATTAAACAGAGTAAATGAGGTACAGATTTGGTTCGGTTTACTTTGATCGTCTGTAAATCTTTGAGAGTTTCAGAGTCTAGAGCCGGTGTAACTTTCCTTGACAGTTAGCTATAGTTACATTTGAAATTCTAAGAGATGTTGTTGATGTTAATTGTTATCTAAAACTGACTTCATTTGTTATTGATAATTTAATGAAACCCAAGATTTAGTGTCAATTTAGCTTTCAAAGTGTTTTAAAATATACACCCTGTAGCTCATCATGTTGGTTATCGTAATTATCTTGTTTACAAACGATAGATTAGAACTATCTTGACACGTTTTAAATTCGTTGAGTTGAATGTGGAAAGACACAGCAACTTGAGATAGAGCGTCAAAGTGCTGTTGAGATTTGCTGATTAGGCTGATTGATCGACTAATATTGAAATGTTGATAGATCGATGCAGCAATGATAGACACACTGAGCAAATTGACCGATCACTTCGGGGTCACACAATAGTTATTAGTTAAGTTACTGCAGTGATGCCAGAAATAGCATGAGGACTAATCGAATAAATCGAACGTCTCAAACACTATTTGAATAAAGTATTGAAATAATATTTCAAATTGAACACAAGCTCCATTCCTGAAGCTTTTTCATCATAAATTTCCAAATCGATAATAAGCATAATAAGCATCTTATCTCAATTTCATTCAATTTCATTAGATAATTTAATCTTACTTTTAGTTAACTTGAGAGCGAATTTCAATTTTTATCGATTGGGAGTTGCATTCATTCAGCCATGTTTCAGCAAACCTGCTCTACTTTTATCATTCATCATTCGAGAAAAAATTCAATTCATATTTTTTGCATGTTTCCATTATAACAAATTAATTTTTAAATTAAATTAATAAGTTTGATCCAAAATTAGAAGGCAAACTATTTTAAAAGTAATTTCCATTTTTCATTTTCTGTTCATGAGTTGATAATTTACCATTAATTTCTAGTCATGATTAATATTGAAATTGTTCAACATTTTACATTTTCATTAGTCAATTACAAGGATCCTTGTCTTGCCATTCTTGAATATCAATCTTGAACGATTACAATGTTTAATACTTGCAACTGTTTGGTTATTTAAAGTATTAGGTCAAATCAAATTAGTAAATTAATTCAATAATTAGTTAAAGATTAATTGATGTTAAACTGAGGTAAATAAACGGCAATTGATTGGATAAATTGAATTGGCGGCATAAAAGTAGCTGTTAAATAATGAATAATGTTCAAGTTAAGTGGATGTTGATCTGTTTTTCCTATACAAATAGGAGGTTCTTGTCTTGAAAAGGATGATGTCGGATGATAATCATCATGGGCGGAGATATGATGATGAAGTGATGAACCAATGAAATGAAGTTGAATGTCGGATAATTCAGGATGGAAACCTTTATCATCCTGATCATCATCATCATCTCTCTCTCCTAATCATCTCAATAAACAGTCAAACGGTTGTACACTTAATTTTATCAAGTTTAACCCAATATCCAAATGATGAACAAAAATGTTAACCAGTTTATTTAAAGTAAACTTCAATTGAACAACTCGTTACAAGTTTCATTAACCAACATTAACTGTTTAATAATAGATTAATAATAATGATTAGATTGTTCAACAATCAATTAAAGTGTAATTCCGTTAACTTGTTATGAGTGCCTCTGTGTCCTAACCTCACATTAACTATGGAGGATCGACCTGAAGAAGGTTTGTGTTCCAATGGAAGTAATTCATTGATTGCTCAAAGTGAATTAAATACTGATTCAATCAACACCAATACAATTAACACTTCAACAAGCGAAACTTGTATCGATAGTAAATCGTCGCGATTATCATTTAGCATAAGTCGACTACTTTCCAAGCCAACAACATCGGATATCCAAAGCTATGGTAAAGGCTCATCGATTGTCACTCAATCCAAATCATCACCTTCCATACCTTTAACGATAGCACCTTCGTCTTCACCTGCATCATCTTTGTCATCGTCTTCTTCATCTTCCTCTTCACCTTCCTCGCCCTTGTCAAGGATTGACGATTTTGCGAGAAATGGTAAAATTGAAGGTAATGTTAGTCCAATTTTATTTGGAAATAAATTGTCGCCAACTTTGATTACAGGGTTAAATCATTCAAATGGCAACAATCGGTCAACCTCAACAACACCTCCACCCACTCTGTCACCCTCTTCATCCTCTTCTTCATCTTCAGCTTTGCCACCTTCATCGTCAACGACAACAGCAATAACATCATCGTCAACCAGTGCACCGATTAACTCGTTGAGATTTGATGGTTCATTGAAAGGTTGTCCCGATAAAGATTTTGACAAATCTAGTAACCACTATGATAATGATAATTTAATGGCTTCCAATTTTTATCATCATTACATTACCGATGCTTTTAGTGATTCAATGTTGAGACTTCATGGTGTTCACCCTCACCACCATCCACATCACCCTCATCTCTATCATCCTCATCCAATCACAAATGGAAATGATTCAAATTCAATTTCAAATCATCAGAGATCCTATCAATCCAGTAAGACTTTCAACTTTTTTTCAAACTTTTCCATTCTTTCATTACTTTTCAGATTCTGATATTCAGTTAAAAAAGATTATTTTGAGTTATGCTTTTGATAGACAACACTCATTGATATTTGATGTTTTCATAAAAATGGAATTCTAAGTTTCTCTCTATTTTGTTTCTTTTTCAAGCCTATTCATCGGCAGTTGAACATAACCAGTTAATGAGACCAGCATTCAGTATAAGTCGACTTCTCTCGGCCAGTCGTAATGATTCAGTGTCCTCATCTTCATCGTCTTCAGTTTCCTCTTCAAACAACAACAACTCAAATGCCCCAAACAGCATTGCCAACAGCAACAACAACACTTTACTAAACAGCTTCAACCGATCGTCTTCAAGTTCAACTGCAACCTCAAAAGATATTGACCCTCGAACCTACACTAATCCAGTTCTCAGATCATCTCTTTTCACTGGATCACACCATGCTCACCACCATGCTCACCATCCACACCATCCTCATCACCATCACCACCATCATCATCCTCATCACAACAACCTGACCCTAGGCTATCCTCTAGCCTGGATGTCCAGTTCTCGAGGTAAACCTCGCCGTGGGATGATGAGACGAGCCGTCTTTTCAGATGCACAAAGACAAGGATTAGAGAAGAGATTTCAAGTTCAAAAGTACATCTCAAAGCCGGACAGAAAGAAATTGGCCGAAGAATTGGGTCTCAAAGATTCTCAGGTAAGAATTTCATTTCAAATGAATAAAACACTTTCCAACAAAATATTCTCAATGAAACTCTTTCGTAATGAAAATTTCCAACTAAAATATTCTGTTTTTCCCACCCAACCCAACTTCCCTGATTATTCAATATTTATATATATCAAGTCAGACTAGTTCCTTCATAAACTAAATCTGAGCGAATCTGACAGTTTCCATGATGCTGTTGTCAATGATTTGTAAAGAACTTCAGATTATTAGATTTTTGGCAAGAAAAGGCTGTTCTGTTGTTCATCAGACTATTATCATGTTTTCACACCGAGCAACTCTCATAACGTACTTGAGTCGAGATAACAAATCGCATTTAAACCAACCTTTTACTCCTCCTCATGATCATCATGATCTTGATGATTATCTTGATAATCTTGATGTTCATTCAATAACATGATCATTATTGTCGAGCCAAAGTCAAATTGATTAATTATTCTCCATCAAAGTCGACTTTGAATAAAATTGAAAAGTCAACAAATAGTAAAATGAACCTTTTCTCATTAAAATGATAAACACCTTCAATATCAATATTTTCATTCCAATCGTCAGTTTCAAAGTAAACAGAATCTTGAATGGAAAAGAATGCAAAAGAATGAAAAATGGCGAAACAAACTTATGATAAACATGATGGATCATGATTAAAGTGGGATGAAAAGAAGAAAATTATTCATTCAAATTATTTCCATTTCCATTGAAATTGCCTCTCAATGAATAAGTAAAGTACAAGCGAAGGAAAACATTGAAAAGAAATCATTTTTTTCCATTCAATCCTTTCCATTGTTATTGAAGGAAATCCGAAAAGTTCCAAATTTGACAACAATAATGATAATATTAATAAAACATGGAACAAGGCAAAACCAGAATTCATATTTATTACCTGAATCTGATTTAAAGGAAACACGAAAACAGAAGTAAATAAGGTAACCATGAATTTTTTAGGCCAAAAAATGGAATCCAAATTTTCCATTTTCTGAATTCATTCAACAGTTAATTGATTCAATTACACAATTTACAATCAATCGCAATTGCAATCAACAGTCACGCCCAATCGATTTCAAGTTTAGACAAAATTCAAGGTTCAAGATGAGATGTGAATCAAGAGATGATTATCATGATTTGCTTACGGCTGCAATTAATTTGCAAATTGATTGAGTCGGTTAATTGGTTCGATTGATTTGGATTTAATTTAAAGAATTAATTATTAACTTTTTCCAATTCGCATTCATTTTTCATGAAGTTTAGGGAACTTTTGCATTTCGATTTTCAGTGAAAATAAATTATGAAATTTTCTGTTGCTAATCATGATTATCTCTATTCATTGCATGGGATTGTAATTCAAGTTTTTTGTTTGTTTTTATTGTGTTTCAACCAAATTAACTATTAAAGGCTGAGCAAAGACTTAATTACAGGTTGAATGAGACAGTTAATTTGGACACTTTTGAATAAATTAATGATTGGTTTCATTGAAAGGTTAAAGTGACTCTTTCTTTTGCATCCCATCATCATCCTTGTCATCATTATTGTTTAATAAAACTAATGAAACCAATTAAAAGGCAAATAGCTTGAGGTTAAATTAATTATTAATTAGGACGGCAACTAGATAATATAAATTAAAAATGTTATTAAACTGCTGAAAGACTTTTGTGAGGGCAGAAAATTGTTCATCTGATAGTTGAGTGATTATAAGACGTTAGTATGGACAAGTCCTGGACAAGAAGTCAATCGATAAGGAAAAATGTGTACAAGTTTAGTCAATTTGCTCAGTTTTTATTGGAAAATAATTGCACCTAATTTAGTGTCTAATTTGTTTATTTGGTTTTGACTTATTGCATTACCTCGAACAACCTTTTGGCATCTAATTTGCTGCCCAATTCAGAGTTTTATTTTTAGTGAAATTGACTCAAGTCTTCTGTTAGCAGTTTATTGTTGAATGAGATGAAACGATTATCTTATGCTCATTATGCAGAAGACATGTTCAAGTTTTGATGTTGGTTATGTCTTCTGGGACTCGATGTCCGTACCAAAGCAAATTATTGTTGACTTAATTCATTGATTTCGTCTTGCATTTTGTTAGTACGGGCATTGTGTCTCAGTACGGACACTTACATAATGTTATTTTGCAAGGATTGGACTAACTTTACTATTAAGAAGGAAAGATGTGACAGCTTAACATTTGATCAAATAGATTCTTAGAGTTTCGTGAAGCATTAGAGCTTCTTATTGTTGCTATTTTGCAAAAAATATCTAATGAATAATTCACATGTCCTTTAGAGGTCAAATAACAAAGGGACCTTGATGGACCTTGAAAGTTATAATTACAGTTCATGATTCAAATAACGCAAGTCTTCGATTAATGTGCAAGACCTTTGAACCAACAATTCCTGGGGGAAGTAATTCCAGCAAACCGGCATAAAAGATGAAAAATGCAAGTATGAATAAGAATAAAAGTTAAGAATCGATTTGCTATTCCATAAGATTAAGTGCAGTAACAGCCTCTAATCTCAACACTTTTTTTCATTTTCATCGCCTTCAAGCTTTTATTTTCTAGGCTTTCTTTCATCTTTTCGCTGTCTTTATCTTTTGAGTGCTTGTTAGTTAATAGTGTTAATTAACTTGTAATGTGAGATGCTAAGACAGGTGAAGTAGTCACCTTGAAATCCTGCAATACCGAAGTCTTTAAAATCCTTATCTCGAGAAGCAACAAAAGCTCGTGATTCCTGAGTTTTTTGTATTTAAATCAGAGACTTTGTCTAAAGTTAAATGCAAGTAATTGAAACACTAATTAAGACAAATTTAGTATCCATCGTAACTTTGCCGTATTAACCGAAAAATTGAGTTTGAAATAAAATTTCTTGAAGTTTGAAGATGAAAACAGAAAGAAATAAAAAGGCAAAAAAAAGCAAATGGTTGAACCCATGAACATTTTGAGCATCAAATTATCACAAACATTCCTCAAACTTAATCCTGAAAAGGGCAACACCAAATGAGTGAAACACTGAAAAGCCAATCGAGTTAACAGTGTTAATAAAAGCTAGTTTGTTGAAAAGCTTTTATCAATCATCAACATCATTAGTACAACAATCATAAATGGGTAAATGCTGTTGCCACTGCTTCCCTCACCAAATATCGTGTAACACAACAAAAGCATTTTCACTTAGCCAACCTCCAAAAGTCTGCCTTTTCAAGGCAACAATTGCGCACAAAATCACTTTTGCCCACAAAACAAACTATAATATTAATAAAATTAATACCAAGTTGAGTCAAAAAAGGGTTCGTCCTTTGAAGTTTATCGGTAAACATGGCGCAAACCCTCCCATTAACTGGTTCATTTAAAATCAATCTTCAAGCCAAAAAGGTTAAAACAGACTTTTAATAGTGAAACAAAAAGGAAAAGTAAAAACAAAAAAATGAAATGAAAAGGCAAACTTGCATGAAGCAAATTAAGTTGTTTGCATGAATGTTACAGATTAATCTTAATCATCATTATATTCATTATCACAATCAACTGAAACAAGTAGCAAAAGTACATTTCCAATGTTAATACAATTGGCTAAACACTTGCAAATGTTGAACAAATTAAAAGTCAATTAAATGTTTCCTTTTCCTCAACAATTGTTGACCAGTTAAACATGATTGATAAATGAACATGAAATGAAGATTTGAAGATACAAATGATACTTTTGTGTTGCCCAAACTGATTGTACAAATTGAGACAAATTGTGAGAAACTGATACTGATACTTTAACAATGATTTATGCATGTTGATGCTGTTCACCTTCAACCCAATCATCAACCTCATCAAGTTAGTAGTAACATGTTCCCTAACGTGACTTGCGGCCTTAACACGCATTCCGTGGCTGGTGCTAAATGCACTTTAAATGAGGCCCAATGATAACTGAACCTCTTACCTATTATTATTATGATTATTAAATGATATTTAAAGAGCAAATTTAACAAGATGGAAACAAGGTAAAACAAATATCATCATCATAAATGATAAAAGTGCTCACCTTAAATTTTCATCCATTTTCATGTTTCATCAATCGTTACTATTAAATTGAACCTTGCCATTATTATTATCATTATCATTGATCAAAGAAAAGATTTTTTTTTTCTTCTATTTATTTTTTTCTGCCTTTTCCATCCTCGCCATCATTTTAACCAACTATCTTTTGAATTTGATTTAGTTTTTAGCTTTTATGGTTCTCATCACCAATCAAGGTGATGAGAGTTAAATGATGATGATGATAAATCATGTTTCCTTGTTTACCTTTCTTCCCAATGACAAAGCCTTTCAAGACATTAACATATCATTTCACATTAATATCATTTGGGAAAAACATCTCAATTTATTTGGTTCGCTGCGATTATCATGATAATTTAGATGAGATTAGATGATTTCTGGGTTGGGCCATTCTCCTCCCCATCATCTTCTCATCTTCTCATCACCTTCTTCTCTCAACTTATTTTCAAAGCATTTGTTTAATATTCTTGTTCAGGTCAAATCGTTTTAAGGGTCATAAAATTATTATCACTATAATCATCGTTATCATCATCATCAATAGTTGAACATTCATTTCATTTTCAAATAAACTCATCTCAACCGTTCCCTGAAACCATTCAATTAACATTTTAATTGAATCAAATTCTTGCATCTTCGAGATTCACAGAAATTTTTCTTTCTTCTCTTCTTCACAATAGTTATTATGCATGATAAAGTTGATTTAAAACTCTATGAATATTGATTGGAAAAGAGTCGATGAATTTTGCCCTTTTTGAGTAAAGGTTTTTTATAATTTTGCATTTTTATTTTGTATCTTTTCAGGTTAAAATTTGGTTCCAAAATCGTCGAATGAAGTGGCGAAATTCCAAGGAAAGAGAATTGTTATCTCATGGTGGATCTCGTGAGCAAACATTGCCGACCAAAAATAATCCCAATCCTGATTTGACTGATGTAGGAGTCAATGAGAAGTCTTCCAGTAAATCTTCATCTTCCCTGTCAACAAGCAGTAAAACATCGAAGGATAAAAACTTGATAAATAGGTTTAAAGTTGAGGATGGCTAAAGGTGATTCAAGATTATCAGATTAATAAAGCGATTCAAAGGTAAATACTTTTGTCAACATTTAATTCGGAAATGAGCTTCATGAAACACTGATAACTTCGCTCTGAACAAAAACGAAAAAAATTCTTCTAAAGAAATTCATTTCTTCTTCAAAATTGCATTATTTCTCGATTTCAATGAATCGAACTGAGAAAAATGATTATTTCTGATAAACACAAATGCATCTTTTGATCATTGAAAAGAAGTTGAAAGTTTCGATTAAATCTCTTCGAAATGAATCTTCGGCTGCTTCGAATGAGAAAAGATTGAAAATTTGAATTAAAATGGAAAATGAATTGACCATGAAAAGATGAATAAATTTGAGACTAGAATAGAGATTAGCAGTGGATTAATGGAAAAAAATTTGTGAAGTTGATGTGGTTTTATGCACAAATGGATGCACAAAGGCAACAATAGATGATGATAAAATGATGATCATCACGTGTCTGCACTTGAAGAGAAAACAGATTTCGATGAAATGATGAATTAATTGATTCCCACAATGATCATCTTTCATCATAATTTTGCATCAATTTTTTTCCATTTTGTTCCAAGTTAATATCACCTTTTTTTGACACAAATTAATAGGAAAACTAAACGACTTTCATGTGACTTTATAAGGAAACATTGTTCTATATAGCCGAAAATGTCTTTTGTCTTATCAACTTTTCTTTCCTTTTTTTCTGCTCAGCCTTTTTCCTTCTTCTTCTTCTTTCATGGTAAACACATTCTTTCCAATATGTTTCATATTCTGATGTAGACAAGTAATATGAGGTGTTGTCAGTGAGGCAAACAAAATCAATATCATATTATAGTGATAATAATAATACTAATAATGATAATAAAAAAATTGATATAATATGAAAGGAAAGTTTCTTTTGATGAACAAGAAGAAACAAACAAAAAAGCCTTTTCTCCTTTCATTAAACTGTTTCATTCACACTTTTATTAACAATTTACCCGACCAATCAATTGCCAGTTGAACAATCATTTGCTCAGTCAAATATGCTTCTCTTCATCATCATCATGAGGATCATATTTTTCACGCTATTTTATTCAATTTCTTCCTTCTCTTATTGCTTTCACCATTTACCATTCAGCCTTTTTTATGCCATTTATACCATGATAATGTTCATGATTGTATTAGTTGAAATTACATAGGAAATTGAAATATTTTCTCAATATTCAGTTGGCATTAAATAACAAATGGATTCAAGTGGAAATGGGCTTCAAAATTGCATCAAAATCATTTCACTTTCAATCCAAGTAAAGATAAATCAAATCATTAAAGCTTTATTATTATCGATCGAAAAAAATGGATTTATCAGTTCGAAATCAGTTAATGAATACATCTTTAGTCGTTGGTCGTTAGGTTGATGAACAATGATTTGTTGATTGCCTTTGATTGGTTCAATAAAAGTTAAGTGTTCAATTGATGATAGTTATTGATGATTATCTTTGTTGATTTGTGGTCGATTTGGATTCATAATTGGATTGCAATTAAATCGAACCTTCTTTTGATTTCTCAATGTCGATTGTTGATGTAAAATTTGAGTAACATTACTGTTGACCTCATGTATTGCAAGTACTCAGCTTTTAGTTTACCTCTGTTATGAACTGTACAAGTGTGTTGACAGGTTGATTGTGTCGATTGGTTTAGATTTATTACATTTTAATCAATTTCTAGGCTCAAAGGCTCAATGTTATTTTCCAGTTGATTTCATTTAGTTTGCAAGTTTTGCAGAAAAAAGTTACTTTTTTTCATGTATAAATATGTTTCCAGATCAGTAAGTTGTTTCAACTTTCAAATTGTGGCGACTCAATCATGGTCAAAACAATCAACAACAAGCTTACGGGCAAACAAAATAGGTCCAGCATAAAGAAATGCCATAAAGTACAACAACAAGAGCGAGAAAAAAAAGAGCAAAAAGTTGATTCCTTTTACAATCTTTTCAACTTTTCTGCTTTACTTACCCTTACCATTGACCTTAAACTCAAGCCAAGGGTGAAACCCTCTAGGTTTGCCTTTGCATTGAGTCGATCTGTTTGTGGACACAAAAGTGAATGACAAGTTTGCAATGAAAAGGCCAAAAGGTAACCACATTTCCACTTGAAATGTGCATTTACCTTTTCATCTCATCAGCTTCTTTTCTTGCTTTTCAAATATTCTTTTAATTTTTGTTATTACCTTCAAATTAAGTGCTATTCAAATTATTAATAGCCATTATTATTATAAGGATGATGATGATGATGATAACATTATAACATCAATGAAAGGCTAGGAGTTGATGGAGCCTAGAAGATGAAGAAGAGGCAAAGACTAAGGTGGAAACTTGTACCTTTAGGCTAAATCATTTGTTAATTGAGACGTTTTCATGTTGCTCAAGAAGCTAAAAGATTAACAATATAATATCAAATTAATCTTCTGTTAATGTTATTCTGAGGAGTGAAAATATTAATAATAACATGTAAACAAACGATGACAATGAGAGTGTAATTGATACAGCATGAAACTATTCAAGGCTCAATCTCAATAAAAGAATCAGTTTTCAATTACGATTTAAATTGTTTGTCAAATTGATTGGCAAAAAGATGCCAATTGAAATAAATGTTATCAACTGTTGAAATAAACTCATTTCCAAATGAAAAAAAGCGAACAAATTTTCAAATTTTTTCTACTTTTCTGATTCCATTTTATTTTCTATTCCAGGTTACAATGGATTATTGAACAAGTATAATTATTGGATAAAATTGTGAATCGAATTGAAACTTTTCCTTGTCTCGGCCACAAAATGTATTATAAAATCGTCTCGAAAAGCTATCAATTTGTAAATTAAATATTGTATAAAAAGTTATTTATTGAAAGGAAAACAATTAAAAATTGTAAAACAAAAGTGATTCAAACTAAAAGTTTAATCATTTCAGGTAAAAACAATTGTTAATCAATTTTCGATTCTATTTTTTCTCATTACTTTTCGCCCTGAAATCATTATCCAATCTCTTCACACCAATTCGATATTCAAAGCGATTTTCAATTGACACACAAATCCAAACTCGAACCTCAAATCTTATCCCAACTCACCTCAGATCTCAAGCTTAGAATTCCATAAAATTTAAGAAATTTCGATTTTGATCCACTTCCATTTCAACCTTTGATTGATTCTTAGTTTGTTTCACATTTTAATTTCCAATCGAATGGCAAAAGAGCGCAAAATGCGAAAAAAACGAAGGAAAGTGGAAAATGAAAACTTAACAGATTCGTATTGAAAAGCATTTAAAATGTGTCTACAAATCGTTTTATGAGTAAATTGAAAGGTTTAATATTTTCAACTGATCGAGCCAAATAGCGAATATTTAAATTGAATTTTGATCCGTGAAATTGAAAACTTCCTGATCAGTGGAACCCAATTGTAAGCTTATGTTAACTCGACTCCATTGAATGCGGACAAAATTTAAGCTCACCTTGCCTTTAACACAAGAAAAGTGAAAAAAAACAAACATTCACTTTGATGTCTTTATTATGATAAAAGGCTGACCATGGTAATGGTATGATGAGATTAAAAAAGTCAACCGAGAGAGTGAAATGTTGCAGCTTGTAAAAAGGAGATTGTCTTGCCTTGGGTTTACCATTGAAGGTGATCCAAGGCTAATCATCCTTCAACCTCATCATTCTCATCATTCCGATCACCATTAAACCTCAACATCTTTACACTGTTGTTTCCCCCAGCACATTGAAAGACCCATTATCTTGTTGACGGCAAAACACGGAAAATTGTTTTTTTAGACTTTTCTTTCATCGTTTATAAACAAGAGTTGAAAATCAATTTGAACCATTTTTTAAGGCCAAACCATTCACTAACAAGCGAATCTAATCTGAATCGATCAATTGAAATGTAAACCGGCTATTATCACGATTAATAATGATGATAATAATGATATTAAAAGGTCAACTGAGCAAAGGCAAAAGAGAAGCGCAAAAAAGAGGTTTTTTTACTTTTGTCAACCATTTGATTCCAAGGTGTTGAGAAGCGCCTTTTGCCATTGAAAACGCGAAAAAAACGTTAAATCGTTTTTTGTCATGTCAACGTTTCAATCAATTTCTCAGGCGAAACTAAATGCCGTTTCCTTTGCCTTCAACATTGACTTGTGAATGTGCCAATGAATTTCATTATCAGTTGATCAATAATTTGCCATTTAATAGCTTGTAACAATGTAACTGAATCTCATCTCGAACTCGCAATCGATAACTTTATCTATCCTTTAAAACCTATAAGAACATTTTTTGGGTGAAAAAAAGTGGTTAAACTGGGAGTGAGTGGCGATAAGTTAAACTGATTGAATCAAGTTAAAGATGAGATGATCTTATCATGATAATGATGATGAGAAAAGGAAAAGATGAAGAATTAGGAATTCTTTTTACATTATTGTCTAATGTTTAATCCCATATAAATGGAAATGACCGTCAGCTGGTAAAGACATACATGAAGGAAAACTCATTCAAGAGCTTTTATCATCTTCTTTTCATCCTCATCAATATCGCAACAAACTTTACTCTCTTTTGTTCATTCACATCTTTCCCCATGAAACATGATTCAAACAACATTCACAATCTTTATTAACACTAAACTCATCATCATCATGATTAGCATCTTTATTGATATTAACCTTTTCTTCCTCAATTGGCAACATTCAGTCAACAGTTGAATTTGTTCACCACAAAAACCACATTCGAAAACAAAAAAAGGTTGTTCCATGATAATCAATGATAATGATGATTATGGTGATAAAATGTTTTCTCCTCTTTTCATCTTTACTTTCAATTTTATTCAATTTTTTAGTTTTCTTTTTCATTTATTTCACTATTGTTTGTGTCAAGAAAAGTGTCTTTTGAAAAGTATAAATATGATGCGAATGATGATGATGGTGATGATGATGATTATGATGATTATGATGATGGGTTATGAAAAAAGATGAAGGAGAAGGAGAAGGAACAAAAAGGGGAAGAAAATGAATTATTCTCTGTTGCCGAATGGAAAATGTTTTTTTCCCTGTTGTTTTATTCATATTTTCGTCCATGAAACAGATGCATTTGATGGTTTTTATCTTTACTTCAACCAGAAGCAACAAAGGCAAAAAAACTGAAACACTATTAATTGAATGCTCATAAAAAGTTTTGCCCTTCAAAAGGAAAGAAAAGTGTTTTACTTTTTTTACGTTTTTACTCCTATTTTTGTTTCCTCATCTTTTCATCTTCTCCCTCTTCATCCCTCATCTTCATCCTATTGATATTTGAAGGACCCAAAAAGTAACTATAAGCAAAACGATTACTTTCAAATCAAATTTTCCAACATTTCAATTCAAGTCTTGCATTATCGGTTCATGACCATCAACATAACCTTTTCAGGTTTAATCTTTGGATTCGCACTCATTTTCATCGAATTTTCAAAATTTAACTCTCGATATTTTTTCTGGCTTTTGGATGAATCTTGAACTGATTGATTCTGTAGTTTCTAAGCTTTGTTCAAGTGATTTCAATCATTGAATTGCAAGAATTTTTATGTCGATAGAAACTTGTTTTGTTTTGAGACGAAAGATGGCGCTTTTGTCTGGTTTTTTGTATCTTTATGTCACTTTACGCCATCTATTGAATTGTGTTGATACTATTTGGGTTTTACTTTCTTCATTTGATTGTAATTTTTAGGTTTTTTCCCGTTTAACTGTCAATTGCCGGCTAATGTTGTCATTTGTGATGAACATTATTTACGTACCTCTTTGAACAGGTATTTTTTATGAATTGTTTCATTTTTGATTGGGGAAAAGCTTAACTTTTTAAACTCTTTCGTTTTTTCTCTTGTTACTAGGTAAGGTTAAACTTACTACATTTTGTGTATGTTTAACGTTTCAAAGTGATTGCTATTTGTCCAGAGGAAAAGTCAAAGTAACTGTAAACAAATGGATTTTTTTGTTTTTGTTTTCTGTTCTTAACAGATTTTGGTTTATGAATCTTTAACTATTTCTGGACATACAGTTTACTCTATGGTTAATTTTACCAGTTTTATTATTGTGATGCATTGACCAATAGGATTGGTATCATCTTTGTGAGGCTTCTGCCCTGTAACCTAAACTATTCTTTCACTTTGTTCCATTTCTGTTCATCTTTTTCCTTTTCTTAATCAACTTTATCTAAATTACGATTCAAAATGATGAATATTGATGGTCGTAGTGTTGAACGTTATTCTCACTGTTTGTGTCTTCATGTTCAACCAACCTCGCTTATTATTGGTTTCATTCATTTGGTAAGTTGACCTTTTATCCAAAGCATGGTTTCGAAATAAATCGTTGCTTTTATCCATTATTTTCTCTTCATAACCTTTCAAGTTTATCTTTAATCCTTTTGCTTTAATCTTCGTTCCTTCTTCTTTATGACTCAGTAATTTATCAATTGATGCTGACAATGATAAATTCCCTGTTAGACTCGGAAAAACATTCCATAAACAGCAATCATGAAGTTAAAAAAACTGATGAATGCTTGTATAAATTGATCCAATTGCGTGTGTTAATTCAACTCTATCAAAAAACTGCTCTTACATTGGTTTCCAAGAGACTTTTTAACCGACTTTTTCAAAATTAGTCTTGACTCATTTTTAAAAATACCCTGTTACTGGAAAACCTTTTCAAATCATCCTCATGGTAGTTGACTTGGTAATTTTTGAAACGGTACGAGAGTTTCTCAATTATGTAACCGAATTCGACCAGAAAATTATCATTTTTCTCACTCTTTATCCAGACTTAATTATTGTGCAGACGGTTTCAAAGATGGCATTTCATCTGTGACTATTAATATTAATTTCACTAAAGTGTTTCTTTGCGTCATAAAAATAATGCTTTTGTTAGAATCGAGATTTGCAATATTTACAAGGCATAAGCAAAGAAAATGGCTCTTTATTGTTCTGATCGAAGTAAAGCTCTTATTCATTATCAGATTTGTAACATTTATCAATATCTTTTATTTTTTTCGTTTTGCCAAGTTGCTATGGCTTTCAATTGTATACCTTTTCGTTCCTAGTGAAACCCAAAAGAGTCAAAGAAACCTAAACCATAGAGATAAGAGAAAAGGTGTGAATTCTCAGTCAAATAGTGACCTTGGCTGGTCTCAATTTTTGGCAGCTGACAATAAACACAATTTATTTCTCAGATTCCCTGACTTTTTCCCATGAATTGTAAAGCAAAAACATGAATGATCATGAAACTAATCTGATTTTTTTTTCTTTTTGTTTGTTTTTTCTCTTTCATGTAATGGTCAACCCTGAATTAGATTTCATCTCTGTTGAACATCGTTCTTCATTTCGAGGATTACACTCAATACCACGATGAGGAGAAACGTATGGTTGATCTCCATCGATCCACAGCAAACTCCTTAAACATGATGGTTAGCCTGATGATGGCCATTGTATCGGCCTTGTTAATCTATGGAGTAACCAAATCACGTCCATCTTACTTGATGCCCTTCTTTGGAATCAAATTGTACATCTTTTTCTTCTCTCTTCCGGCATCCATTTCAATGCTCTGTTTTTCACCTCACCTTTCATCTCAATATGATTCCAGTGGGCGAACCTGGGGAAGTGAAATGAAGCGTCTCTGGTCATCGTCTGATCCCACCACTGCATACACTTCCTCCATTTTCATGGCACTCATTGAATTCCTCTATCAATTATATTTCATATGCGTTATTTGGAAATGTTATCGTTATTTAAAGCTTAAAGAGTCGGTCATTCCCTTACACATACCTTACCATCTTAGAGGGGTTGAAGTAAGTTTCACCTTGTCTCGACTGAAACCAGAAAGAGGAAGCAAAAGACAATAGACACCAGATAATCAGGAAACTAAGGAAACAATGAATCCATAACCAGATTAGTTAACATTATTAATGAATGTAAAGTTGAAATAACTTGCATAACTGCTATAACGTGATTGAAGTAGCTTCAGATTTGACAGGAGCAAGTTTATTTACCTTCTTCATAATGTGTGAAGACAGTTAACTTTACTTCTTTCTTGATCTTGAAACAATAGATTTTCTTTCCTTGTTTCCTTCAGGGTATGTGAATCATGTTCATATTACATAACAATGACTAGAGTCATGAAATCAGCAGCAGAGTCTAAGTGTTTAAACAAATGCAAGACTTCAGACTGAAATATATTTTAGATGAAATGGAAAAAGATGAATATCAAAAGTCATAAGCAAGAATATTGAATTCATTCAAAGACAAAATTAATCTTGAAAAAGCTAAATCAACTTTGTTAAAACAATAGTTGAAAGCTTTGGTGGTGATTTTGTTCAATTAGGTTTTTAAATAGATTTTTGAAACAAATTTATTTTGACTTTCATTGCCACAGGCTTTTTCAAATGTCATTTATTTTGGTTTTTTTCATTCTTTCTACTTCACAATCATCTGTCAATTGAAATTATTTTTGCTTCTTCATGCCAACAAAATGAGAAAACATTGGTGGCTCTTTTTTCACAGATCAACTCACATTTGGTTTCACGCAAATAATTTCACAATCAACTGTCTTTTGCTTTCCTATTGTTTCCATCAACTTAGTAACATTTTATTAATCTTTTTTTCTCTATTTCTTTCAACAGATAACTGTTCCTTCTGAGATTGTCACAACACCTAGTGCTATGGCTCCACCCGACTATGAGACTGCAACAAAATTGAATCCACCACCTGATTATGAATCAGCTCTTAAAAACTATCAAATGATGCCTGGTCCTGTTCAGGTTACCGTAACTGAACCAGTGGAATCATGCAGGGAAAATGGAGACAGCAATGATAAAAATAATGTCACTGAACTACCTCGATCCGGATCATGGTGTGATGAATCCAAGGCCTCGGAAAAGAGCGATGAAAAGAGTACAACAAGCGATGCTAGTCATTTAAACGATTCAAGTTCCCATAATAACATTCACTGTGATGCAGCCAACAAAACGGAACAAAATATTAGCAAAAGTTCACGAGATGATCCCGGTGCTAACGAAAGTTAATCTCACTAATTTAATTACTTGTTCACTTAAGGAATCAAGTCTTCTCTCCACCTGTTTCATCGTCATCATCATCTCCCATTCACTCAAATTCATCTTCCTTAGTTTCCCTACTTACCTAACTTTCCCTTTTCCTTCCTCTATCTTTTTCCTCTTGGTTTAGAGGATAAATTAATGGCAAGAGGAATCAACAAAACCAGAGTTTCCTTTAATCATCCAACGAAACTCGAAAGGTTTCATCAACTTACGATTTCAAGTACACTTAATTGTTTTCAGCCGATTCACACTATTCAAGTAGAGTCAAACATTTATCACTACTCTTCTGGCAAAGGGGAGGATAAAGATGACAACCTAAACTCTAGTTTCTGCCTTAGAGACCATTTTATTCAAGCTATTATTCAGAGGAACTGGAAAAATGTTGATTTTAAATTATAGCAGAATTGCTTGAATCAGTATCATGTACAGAAGCAAATAAATGTATAAGTTTTATGCGATGTGAGATATTTGAGAAAAATATTTCATCAAAATCAACTTTTACCCTGAAAGCTTTTATTCAGCAAATAAACAAACAAACATTGTTTCTTTATTTAATTCAGAGGAAAAGTGAAAGCTAATTTAACTATTATTTTAATTATGTATATTTTTTAATTTATGCATCACTATTCAAAGGTTCATCGTGGTTCAACAAAAACTCATTGTTAATTATTCTAGTCTGTTTACCGATGACAACCAATATAAAAAGGTACTTCTATGTAAATAAAGATGATCACTAAATTAAAAATAAAACCTTTTGTTTAAAATTTCTTAAAATCTTTATTGAATATTACCATTCGCTGAGGAAAATTATGCAAAAATTATCATGTAACTGACCAATATAAATTTTAATAACATTTCAAGTTAGAGTACAATTTATGTAACTGACTGTAATTACTACAGCAGTTACTACAGTAAAAATCAGTGATGAGATTGGATAAGAGATGGTGCGCAATACGTTGATTTAAAATGTTAACGGTTTGACAATCTTTTGCTAACCAAAACCGTTCTTTAAAGTAAAATACATTAAATTGTGATTTGGATTAATTTAAGAATATACAAATCAACTGTTTGCCGATTTAAATTTGTGTTATTGCTCGGTGAAAAATGAAATTTCTTCTCGCCAAGAACAATTGGTTGACTTGGTTGACGTTGTTGAATGGCTCAAGATTGACCGGGAAACTCTTTTTCTATCAGCAACACTTTGGATTAATTTATTTGCGGCAAAACATATGGATAATGATACGATAAAAAGTGTATAAAGTGTGAAAACATATCGATAGTTTTCCATTTTTAAGCTTTGGAAGCCAACAGTTGAGACCTTTGAGTGGTATTCTTGTGCTTCTTCTGCTTGATAAAGGGAGGTATTTTTATCGTGAAATAATTCTCCGGCCATTATTGCATGAAATCGTGACAATAAAAGGTTTTCCTTTTCCTTCGGTAAATCATCACGGTACATATAAACATCTAGGATGGTTGTAGTCTTGATTCGTACCTCTTTTGGATTATATATCGTTGGATTTTCGGAGAAAGATTTTCTGATACGAGCTATTTCATGCTTATTTCCCAAGAACACAACCATTGGATGACCAGCAAATGATGTGTTTGATAACTTACGAAGCTCTACGGTACGAGACACTATCATTGAATTGTTTACTCTCGGGTCAATAACAGAGTTTTTACCATGGAAAAGACCTCTGTAGCAATTAGATGTTGCGGCCACATGTGCTTGCAATTTTCGATCCAATAGATCATCAAGGGAAGAAACTGGCTCGGTTTGGATTAAACTAACCAGATTTGTTTGGAAACTTGCAGAATACCAAGTCTGAAATTGGAGTAGTATGAGTAAAAATATTAAGCCGGACACTTTGGGTAACTCAACATCAGGTTTTTCTGTTGATTTTGACTTGTCACAACCAAATTGAATGTTAATGATTTCAGCTAAACCCGAATTACGCCTTTTGATGTAGTAAAGCCAAAGTGGAAGATTTTTACAAGCAAATAAAATTATCAACAGAGCAACAAGAAACAATATGGTGGATGGCGAGAAAACCTGTAAAGATGTCAATATATCGTTGAAGTTTCTAGCTGGTTTTTTGGTGCCATATGAAAGATATGTACAGTCCAGTTCAAGAACAGGCGGTGAAAGTGAGATATTTTTATAAATGTCATCAAACAAAAACATTTGAGATGATTCTGAACACAAATCAGCTTTACCAGACTGGATAAATGCAGCGATTTCTTTGCAGACGCCATCCTGGCAGCCTCGATTAGAATGACCACCAACATAAAAAGTGACGTTTAATCCTTTGGTAATAATTCCAATTCTATTTCTTATTATAGAACCATAAATTCCATCAACAGTTCCAGTAACATTGTTCAAATAGATTATCGGAAATCTGTCAACTAATCCAACCCGCAAAGTCATCGGGTTAACAGGATAACAATTTTTAACCACAAAACAATACAAGATTGATTATGTGCCTTTATGATTTACAAGTCAAGTAATGAGATTTGAATTTAAAGTCGAGGAAATGGCGAGGAGAGAGAAAAATCGATGCTCATTAGTCAAAAACAACTCCAATAAGTGCCATCTAATGATAAGATTTATGCTGATGAGCCTTACTACTTACCAGCTTGACTCTTTTTAGCTAGAGAATCATCATGGAATATCGATTAACTAAGATATAAAATTTGTGTCAAATAGAGATTTATACTTTTTCTCTCCGCCATCATCACCGTCATCTCAATTTCATCATCATCATCTCAATTTCATATGAAAAACATTTCATTTGTTAATTGTTTTTAGTCCACAAAATTAATAGTTGGATGCTGGTTGATTAATAAACAAAATATCGCATGCCAAGGAAGCCAACTGAAAGTAGAAAAATGAAGAAAAAAAAGAGTAAAATTGTCATAAACTATCAACTTTTTTACAATAAACCCTGATTTGCTGTCAACAACTAACATGTTGATAGTAAAGATGAATACAACATTAGTCGACTTTCAAAGTGAACATTTGAGCCTTTCAACATGGCTCTTGATTAAATCCAAACACTGATTATTCCAAGCATGAACCCAGGCAACTTAATTAGAAAACATAATTACCATTATAACTTCAAGTCTAATGATGGCTGTAATAAATTGATGAACGTTTCATGAAAACATTTTCCCATTCCCTTTCACTTCCATATTGGAGCACATTTTTTGTAACATTCAAGTCTTTGCTACACAATTTACTTTTCAATACCAACAATCTAGCGGTCAATTAACTTATTTGAGTTCTGACCAAATCGCCATTCATTGTTTGTACCAAATTTAAAACAAAGGAGATAAAATAAAGGACAGTTTATATTTTTTGAAATGAACAGTCTCTTTGCCTTTGTTCATCTTTTTATATTGATGTTGCTTCCAGTCTGTCCTTTGGGTCTCACCGTTTCAAATGAACCCAGCTACAGTGAGCGCGATTCGGTCATGTCAACCTTTGTCAACTTTTGGCGAACAATTGATGATTTCATTGAATATCTTCGTTCCCGCACTTCAGGATTACGTGGCTCAATGATGAACATGTTAACACCTTTAAGTGAAATCGTTCCGTCCAATTCATCAGTCGGAGTTGTTTGGTTGCAACCAGGTTGGCTCAACAAGACCCTTTCAGAGGCTTATGACAACCTGAAGGTTAACCCAATCCCATCAGCCACCAACACTACATCGACCAACCTAACTCGGCCTCAATAACAAATGTTTTTCATCTTTCAATTTTCTTCCATCGATTTATCTTCTCAACTTTTCTTCATCAACAACAACTTGTCAATAACAATTATTACATTATTATAATTATTTTTCATTGTAATAATATAATACTTTCCAATTACATAATGATATCCAATAAGGAAATGGATAATGATTGACTCTATTGATCATTGACTAAACATTACTGAATTTTGCCCAAAAAACATTCACTGATTATCAATTTAAACCCATTCTAGTCAAATTGTATCCATTATTTTTCTCTACTCTGTAAACCATTAAAGAATTTGACATTTTTTCTCAAAGAATCATGTTTATTTGGATAGTTTTGATACTTTTCCTCTTCAAGTATAACAGACATTCAAGAGCAATCAGATTGAGTCTGCTCTTTTTTTCTGGTTACCAAACTCTTACCAATAAATACATAAACTGTAACTTGTAATGAGCAGCTTTCATTGAGTTTCCAACCTCAAATCTGTTTACAACTAATGATTGAAAAGACGATGAAAATGTGTAAATTGACTTTAATGGAAAGTTTAATGTGATGTTTAAGGATAAAAAGCAATTGGAATACCTGAAAGAGAAATGGTTAAAAGTTCATTATCAAACTGATTAACAACCCTGATGCATCTTCCCGTATAAATGATGATTCAATTGTGTTAATACTTTGACTTGGTAAGTAAACTTTAATGTTAACCTGAATGAGAAGCCAAATTTCAATTACATTTTCAATTGTTTGAGTTATTTTTGCATGAAATCGAGTTGAACTATCAACCGAGAATCAATCAAAAAACCTAAAAATAAACTCATTTTGTTATCGAAATAAAAATGAGATGAAAATTGAGGAAAATGAAAAGTTGAACTTTTCTCTTTTAATGATTATTGAAGCAAAAATTTCTCATTTTGTCTCATCTTAATCATATTGCTACAAAACTTTGCATGATTTTCAGAATGATGAGGAATAATGATTATCATGAGAAGAGGAAAATGATTAAGAGATGAGGAGAAGAGAAAATGAAGAGAAATCTTTTTTTTCTACTGCAAACTCATTTGGAAGTTTTTACTGTTCACTTTTAGGACCAAACTTTGAAGTCTAATCGAATGATCGATAATAATTGTGTAACGAAATGTTCAGATGAACATTTATCTCCATCTCAACCGAACAACAAGAATAGTTTAAATGGAAATTGTAACAATTCTTCAAATCATCCAACATGTTCCATGACAAGTTCAACACTACTCGAGGTTCACAAAGGTCGTCCTGTTAAGTTGACAGTAAAGGTGATTGTACCAGTTAAGGATCATCCAAATGTAAGTAAACTTTAATAGAAAAAATGAAAGCTTTAAAAATCAAAGTTCCAAGTAAATTGAATGTTCAACTGTTGACAGTTTAATTTCATAGGGAAACTTTTAGGACCAAAAGGCAACTCATTGAAATGGCTTCAAGAAGAGACTCAAACAAAAATGGCCATTCTTGGGAAGGGGTCAATGAGGGACAAGAAAAAGGTTGGTTCGGAAAAGTATTTTTAAATCGAATTTTGAAGTTTGAAAATTTTCATTCTTGACAAAACAGGAAGAAGATCTGCAAAATTCAGGCGATCCAAAATATCATCACCTTAACGAGGATCTTCATGTTGAAATCAGTGCTTTTGCCCCACCAGCCGAGGCTTACTCAAGGGTTGGCCATGCTTTGCACCAAGTTCAACGTTTTCTTGTTCCAGTAAGTAGCAAGTGTCTAACTTTGTCAACTCTAATTAATCCGTTCGAAGTATTTGTTCAATTGACAGTCTTTTGCTTTTGTGACATTTCAATTCACCAGCTTATGATCAATCTTTAGGACACTTGAAATTGGTCAAAATTTAGTCTTGAAAAGATTAGTCTCCAAGTTCTCGTCCGAATTATTGCAGTAAAAGACAAAGTAAGAATGACAAATGAATTTACAGACAACTTCAGTTTTCAAAAGCTGCTTACTTTGAATTGATCACTTAATAGCTGATAAACGGTTAGAGATTGTTATGTCTAGGCAACAAGATCAATAAGTCGATCAGTTCAGTTTTTTTCCAATAAACCATTTCTTGACTTTTCTTTGCATCGGATTTTCAGAACAAACAAATATTCTTCCTTCCAAAAGTACCTTAATTTGTGACAGTAAAACTTGTTGAAATGTTCCATAAATTTTGCAGATACAGAATTTTCCCCAGAAACAAAATAAACTAAAAGCTTAATTAATTCATTCCTGAAAAACTTGAAAGATATCAAAATGCAAAGCAAAAACTAGAACCTCTGCATAGAAATGATTGCTTCGTACTAATTAGTAACCCATCCATTCCAAATATTTTATCATCGATTTCTGACATTTGTTTCGCATAATATTGAAGTTTCCTTATTAACCCCATGACCCGAATATGCAAAATAAGCCAAGAAAACAGAGTTTCCTAAAACATTTGAAAACTGACATTCAGTTAACTTCGATTGAAAAATTTGAACCCAAACTGAACATTATTATTGGTTAGTTTTAGCAGTTTTCACGATTTGTCGAGCCAGCAGAATTATTCTATCAAATGTTTTTCTTTGCTTTATTGATATAATTTTCTTGTAATACTTTTCCCATCTCAGGACTATTATGATGATATAAGGCAGCAACAACTTCGAGAACTCGGAGTTTTGAGCGTCAATCGAAAGCCAAGCGGTTCATATCATTCAACGGAATCCACTGAAAATGGAGAAGAAGAAAAGGACGAAAAAGACGAAGATGAAGATGACCCAATTGACCAAGAACAGGGAATCGATGAACAAGAAAATGAAAATGAAAATCGAGTTGTAAAGTGCAACCATGAAAATGATGAAGCCGAGATTTACTCTAGTCAGTTGACCTCACAGTTGAAGTTGATAAAAGATTGTCACCAAATTCATCACAACCAACACAATCATCATCACCATCATTATAACCATCGTAAACCTGAGCAACACAAAACTCATCAAAATTACTCAACTCAAGTTGGTCATAATTTTCATTCCCAGCAACCCTTTCCTTCCAACCAGCATCATTACCAACATCAACAACTAAAGTGTCCAAATTGTTTACCAAATTTACTCTCATCAAGTTTAGGAGGAAAACTAAAGATGACTAAACCAGTGCCAATAAAGTTCACTTCATCATCTCTCTCATCATCAACCCTGGAACCCTCATCATTTACCTGTGAATATGAAATGAGCACAAAAAGGTGCAGTTGTCCTCATCCATTTGATACAGAAAACTCAGGTAAACAGAAAAAGAAAAAAACCTCAACTTCGAACACAATTGTCACCTTGTCAGTTTAATTCTCATTCACTGGCTGATTGATTAACGATTAATTGTTTACTCATGAGAAGAGCAAACAGTCGAATGTTCAGATTGACCAAAGTGTATCAACTTTTATTCAACAGAAGAAACTCATTGAAGAAAAAAACGAAAAAAAACTTTTCATTAAACTCATTCATCTATTGATATCGGTTGATCAAGACAGATAAATAGTCTTTGACAGTTTATTGATACAAGAATAGATCAATAAAGATCATCATGAAAGAAAGAAATTATGGAAAAAAGAATCTGAATAAACTAAAATTTTTCAACCAACTTTACCAATCAACCTTTCAATCAACTTTTTTACCTTTTCATTAATATAAGCAATTACCATTAGATTCAAGTTTATCACGCAATAACTTCATTTACTGGAATATTAAGTAGAAAAGAAAGAGAACGAGAAAAAATATTCCAAATGAAATCGAGTTTACTCATGTTCTTTTCATCATGAAAAATGAGCAACTTTTTTTTGTTTTCAATGTGAGTCAATAATGGCCACTATTTGTGGTTAAATTGGATAAACGGTCAACCCAATTCTTGACCAACATTTTGCTTTTCCCCAAATTCGTTGATGGAATACAATTTCAAAATTAATCTGATCAACATTGAATTTCCTTTTGGAATTCATTCAAATTTCCATTTTCAATTTACTCATCAAATTAAGGATAAAACATCTTCGACATTTGAATAATTTTCAGGCAACATCAATATTAAGTGTTTGCAACTGCTTCTGACTGAACTTTGTCAATTCAAAATTCAATTTCTTCTGAAAATATGTAAACATTGAATGAATATTTTGATAGGAAATTGAGCTGAAAATGAATTCTCAGTAAACTTGAGGCTTGTCACCCAGAAAATGGTGTTTATATGAAAGGAAGGAAAAGAATGTGAATAAATAATAAGAAATAACAAATTTTCAGATGAAAAAGTTCTTATTGATTGGTGAAATTTTGGTGAAAAATTGTTTACATCTTAAGTCAAACATTTGTGGTTTGATTCACAGCTTATCGCTAATTATCGTTTGGATGAACTTTTTTCTCGAAGAGTTTCTGAAAACAACAAGCTTAAATAATAAACTAGATTTATCATGATAATGAGCTTAATTAGAGGTGAAAATTTTCACTTCTAATTGAAGGCATTGAAACGTTAAATATTATTCATAAATAAAATAACTAACAATGAGTGACAATTGTAATGATGGAAACAAACAACAAATGATTATCAAATGAACAAGTTAATGAATCAGAACTGATTGGACATTAATGATTACAATGGAAAATGTTGTCACCAATAAATGGAAAGAAAATGTGTCGAGAAATTTTTCCTCTTTTTTTCTTCTTCTTCTCTTCAGCATTTGAATATGTTGAAATGCTCATGATAATTTGATAAGGAAATAATCAATGGATCAATGTTCATCTCTGGTGAAAGAGCATGATTGACTTTGTAAGATGAAAACTTTTCTCCTTTACTTTATTATTAATTTGAGACAGAATTGAAAGTCAGCCATTTCGCTTCATTCATTGAGCATAATGATCATGATGATTATGATGATAACACGAACATTCATCACGAAGAAAAGAACAATTGATCAATAAAATGTTTTTTTTTGTTTTTTCGTTTCTTCGATCATCAATTAGTTTCTTGTGTTTCTCCTTTTAGCCAACGTTTTTAATCGATTAATTGGAAAAGTTCATTGATTATTGGTTAACATGTTAATATCACTGGATTAAGATGAAAGTGAAACGAAGAAAAGAGCTGCAGAAATGGCATTGATAATGATCGAGTTACAGGGAGTGAATAATTATCATTGTCCCCTGGATAAGGTGAGATTAAAAATGAGGACAGAATCAATTTGGGTGAAACATTGAGTTACCTTTGTCATGTTTAACCTTCTCAAATCGAGAATTGAATAGTAAATAGTGTTTTTAATGAACAACACTTGACGGAATAAAATTAATTGTAATTAAGGTCAATAATAATGATAATTGTGTACCAATGGTAATCTGGTTTACAGGGAATGCTAGTCACTAATGAGCAAAGTTTATACAGCGAATAGACATAAAAAGGAAAAGAATTTTACATTTTCAGAATATTCCGTTTTATCAATGTTGTCCCTCAATAATGTGAATACTAATCAGAGTGAGAAAATAATTGAAAGCAATTTCGTCTTCCTTTTCTTCCCTCTTATCATCCAAATGGATATTCTGTTAACATGTAATCAAAGATGCAATTAGTCCATTGATTCGTTATTAATCTAATTATTAAGGGAACAACACTGAGAATGACTTTTTTTTATTCTGCCCAATGAGTCAACCTTTTTTTACACTCTCATTAGTTGCCTTTCCAGTTTATTGCATTTTTGTTTTTCACCCAAAAATGAGAACTCGATATAACCACAAAAATTTCAATGTTTTTTTTCGATTCTCCAGTTTAATCAAAGTTGATCATTCCCGTGAGTCGAATGTGTTACAATATTATAAACAATTCGAAAGGGTCAATAATTCTAGTCTGGCTTTTATTCACTCCCAGTTATCATTCCCTGTTACAACTCCCTGTTGACTGGGAGTTGTGTTGTTATCTAAAAAGGTATAGATATTCATATTGATAGGCTAATAAATATATGTTATTAGTTGTTGAAATGTTTTTATCTTGTAACTTGAATGGTTCAAGCTGTTTTTTTGTTTCATTATTGTTATTGTTATTGAACAATTTGAGTTGAGAAAATTCAATGTTATTTATCATTAATAATCTTTATGATCCAGTTAATGAAAGGATAATGATTGGTTTTACGATTGAAAGGAGAAATAACTTTTTTCTATGAATAGTTGTCTGATGGATGAAATTGCGCTGCCCTTTTCAACTCTTGTTTCATCATTTATTAATGCACAAAGTTGATTGTTGAATAAAAATATTGAAATTTTTGTGTCTTTTGCTTGCAATAATTTAAAGAGCAAGTTAATGTAAATTTCATGGTTGGCCGAGTTTTCTTCATTTGAAATGGTCCAATTGTTGGCTGATTACATGGTTTACGTTGATTAGCAAATTGAAGGGCAGTAGAATGTTGAAAATAAATTGATGTCAGTAATGTAATAAAATTTTGGGTCCCAACTTTGTTTTGTATTCAATCGATTGAAATACCTTGGAATGATCTGCTCATTTTTGGGTGGAAACTTTCAACTGAAATGAGAAGATTATAATCATCAAGAAAACAGAAAAACAAAATTCTCTTATTTTCGACTTCCTGCCTTTCTTGGGTTGGACAGAACTTGACATCAAAAAGACGCTAACCACAGGCTAAGCTCTATTATTATGTCCATTTTGGACACTTTCAAGGTTGGATATGTGATTGAGAAAAGAGTTCGAAGTTTGCATGCACTAGAATTTTTCCCTCTCTTTTGATTTTTATCGAACTAATTTTGTTTTATTGTAAATGTGACAGTTTGGTTGAAATATTTTGGTTAATCTGTATCGAAGTTCAGTCATTTTTTGTTGTACAGTTTGATTAAATGGGTTTATTTAACGTCTTTGTTGTCTTATCGAATAATTATTAATTCATTTTGAAACTTTGATCTTCTATTCATTTATTTTAGATGAAACATGGAACACTCAGAGAACTTGTAAAACCATTCGGAATCGATTTCAATTGATGCCCTATTCCAAACGTACAAGAAAACTTTATGACTAATTGCATGATCATGCAAATTCAAGACGCAGTTTAATGTTAAGATGCTGGATCGATTAGAAATGTTACATAAACAAAAAGGCTTCCCAGGAAAACTCAACATTTGGAGACTTGAACTCACTGAGCAATGGTGACATTTGAATACAATAGCTCCATCTTGAGAGTTGAATTAAGAATGTATCTGAATGCTCATAACTATTGATATTTACACATTGAAATAAACATTCAAACATTTATTCATTCATCTTCATTAATTAATGTATAAATTGGTCTACATGCCTTCATTTGCAATGACATTAAATATATGAATACAATTAAACGTGTAAACTTAAAGCTCGAGTCTGAGGCATAATCAAGTCTTTTAACCACAAATAAACTGATTAGTTGGTGAACAAGCTTATGAGCAAAATAGATTAGTAACATCGAATTTCCTTCAAATTAACAAACAAATATATCTTGTTGATTCTCTAAAATACATCAGTAAGAGGTGGTCAAATGTTGAGAGATGGAAAATTGTAAACAGTTTGAGACCAGCTGGCTTTCCTCAGAAATTAAATTAACAATAAAATATAACGCCATCTAAGTGACTTTAAAAAAAAGCTTAACTCACATTTTATGCATTAACCGAGGATTCACAGTAAATCAATTAAACTATCAGAAATATTTAGAAGAGTTATAGTTAATTATTATTCAAAAAACAATTATACAGGGCTATTCAGCTATCTTTACCGATGTTAAACGGCTATATCTTGGCCTGTGATTGACCTTGAGGGGTCAGATTTTTTTATAATTAAATTTCGCCGATACTTATTTGCTATATTTCAAGGTCAAGGTCATTCAAGGTCATTTGTCGGAAATCGCTCCTAACGCTATTAGAGGTCAACCGAAGGTTGCATAATAATTTTCAAAAATCAAGGTCAAGATCAAAAGATCAAGAACAAAAGAAACGTTGATTAGTTATATTATTTCAGAGAAACGATTAGGCCCACATTTGATTGGAATATTCGATGGAGGACGAATCGAGGAATACATTCAGGTAAGGTTAATGTTACATCTTTCCCATCCGCCTTTGATAAGTTGACTTGATGAGAGACTTTAAATTTGTGGATGTTTTGTTAAACTCATTGTTATCAGTCTACCATTCCAACTCGTGAGCAATATGAAGGACAATTGATGTTCAAAGAGCTGCCTTATAAATTGGCCACCATTCATTCCTTGCGACACTCATTTTCTCGTCGAGTCCAGTTAGATTTGATTGCAATGGTATCAGGTTTGACGAAAAGCACAGCACTTTCTGCTTACTTTAATGGATCCAAAATCAATGCGTTCTCAGAGAAGCTATTAAATTTCAATAAGATTTGTTAATTCCGTTGTTTACTCAAATACCTTCAAAAATTGTATTCTGTCATCAAGATATGAATCGGTTGAACATTTTGATTAGAACAAGAAACAGTGACGATTCTTATAGAGGATGTCAATAATAATGACCTCGAATGACCTTGGATGACCTTGACCTTGAAATATAGCAAATAAGTATCGGCGAAATTTAATTATAAAGCATCTGAACCCTCAAGGTCAATCACAGGCCAAGATATAGCCGTTTAACATCGGTAAAGATAGCTGAATAGCCCTGTATTATTAATATTATGAATTATTAGTAGATAAATGAATTTGCCTGAGTCACAATTCAATACAATGCGCTTCATGAATTGAAAAATCGACAGGATTGAACTCTTACAACTAGCACAACCAATAATTATTCATGATAACGATTAAGCTCACAAGGACTAAGTAAACGAAAATAATCAAAAATCCTGGTTACAATCATTGATTGGAAACAAAAACCACCGTCCTTGATAATCAACAAAATAATTTAAAGCAACACCAAAAGCTTGAAAATTAATGATGCAGGGAACACAAAAGAAGAATTGAAGATTTGAGAATTGAAGCACAATTTTTCTTTATTCAAGGTCATTTGTTAATCTGCCCTCTAAACGACTTATAAAGGTTATTTTGGAATAGCACACTTTTTGCACTTCGCGAAATTCTTGTCATAAGTTGCCAACAATCTTCTCTGAAATTTACACAAGCTTAGGCCAAATCTGACGAAAAATGCTTCGTGAACAATATCTTCATAGCAGCAGCTTTTGTTATTTCAACGGATGGACTTATAGTGATGAAAGTAGGGCCTATTTGAAAATAACCTTCAGAAGTCGTCTAGAGGGCAAATTAACGAATAACCTTGAATGACCTTGAAACTTCAGAAAAATTGTGCAACTCTCAAAATACCGTTCAATATATAGTACCCCTAGCATGTTTGTTTTCTTTGATATTCAATAAAATGTGAAGTAAATGAGGCTGAATAGCCCTGCATATTGTTGTATAAAACCCGGGATAAAGGCTCAGGCTTAACCAGAATGGGTTATACTTTCTGTACGGACTGAAATGGACAAGATTGTGATTAATTTCATTTAACACTGTTAATGGACAAGTAAAATAACAATTGGCAACTGCAACGAAGAAAAAAGACGATGATTAATTAACAAAAGCAACATGGAGAAATACAAATTGGAATGAAATTTGGTTTTTTCAAGCAACAATTCATATTGTATTTCAATTTGTAAGTTGCTTTTCTGATTGCTTTGGGTTGTTGTTTAGATTTTGGATTTGGCCTTTAATTTTCAAATTAATCACTTTAAAATCGAATCAACATTTTTAATTACTGGTTATTAGGTTGAACTGAATGGGAATCTCACAATTAACAAAATTCCTTTGTTGTTTTGCTTGATTGCTTAGTTGTCGTTATTTTGTGATACATTTGGGTTTACAATTTGTAGAATTAATTCCAACTGTAAGATGTAAATATATAATGAATAAAATAAGTAACGAAACAGAATGGCTTATCGATGAGAATTCGGTTTGGTTTGGTAAACGGCGCAGACAACGAAAGGCTCAATTGTTAAATGTGCGACAAAGACAAAGGCCATTCAGTGAATCCTACTGTTACCAAAGTAACTTTTTGCTCATTTTATCGAAGTTAGATGGAGCCATGTCATTCATTGAAATGAGATTCGCTTTCAAACTGAATCATCCCATGGAGTAAACTGCAAGTTGCATTATTAAAGGGTGTCAAAAATAAAACGGGTTGAAAGCTGAAATCAGAATAAATGTAATTGGTTTTAGATTGATTCCGCATCTAAAGTTGGTCTCATTCGATGCGATTTAAATTATCTAAAACCAATTACATTTATTCTGGTTTCAGCCTTCAACCCGTTTTATTTTTGACACCCTTTAGAACTAACTAACTGAAGGCAGGATTCGGATTAAGTTAATCACAAAACAAAAGTTTAACTAAACTTTATTCATCATATTGTAAAGATGCAAATAGCTAAAGACCTGAAAGATGTAGCGAAAAAAGTTTTAGTAATGAACAAATTGATCACAAGAAACAGATTATAAATGATGAAATCAGATAAATCTTTCGTATTTAAATGTTACTTACAAACAAAAAATGACTCAAATCTGAATTTTAAGATTAATATATTCCAATGAAAATTTCTTGCCTGTGCATATAGGACTACCTTTATCAGTTAATATTTCAAGAAACATTAAATGGAAAAGGAAGAGAGGCGAAAATTTTTGTGCGATGATAATCCATTGGGAAATGATGATGTGATAGCAATAATGATAGCATGATAGACAAGATTATATTCAATTTTTTCATGGTAAATGATGTATTTTATGAGTGAAACATGGAATCAATTTGTTAGTGGAAATCATTCATCTTCAATTTCAATGGTTGGAGTGACGAAAAAGAAAAGAGTTGAATTATTTCCTGTGAAAATTGCACTACAAGTTACGAATCGAGTTTAAACAATTGTAATTCAAAGGAGAGTTTAGAGTTGAATCATTTACTCTCAATTTTGTGAACAGACTGATTCTAGGCTTCGGTAAAAGTCTTAATTCAAATGAAATAATTTTAAGATGAGCAATGATTGTAACCTTGCCTCATCAGTTATCATTTTGGTTGTGTGTTCTTTCAGCTTTTCACTGAACTCAATTCGCATCTCGAAAATTGTCATCAAAAATTGGAAACATGAATTTACTATTTGACTGTATTTATAAAACTATAAACTATCATCAAGATTGGTAATGATGATAAGGGATTGGAAAACTATCAAATAGCCAGAGTGAGCTTGGAGTAAAGATTATCAGATAAGGTGATGCGAATGATTTTGAGAGAGGGAAAGTGACGAAAATTGAATTGCAATTGTTTCTTCATTTTTTCGAGTTTTCAATTGAATCTCTTTATGTTTGATTGTTCTTGGGATGAGAAGGAAAAAAGAGACGAAATTGGTAACCCAACCAATGTGATAGTTATCGTCTGATGATGTCAATGATGATGATGATCCTGATCATGGTGATGATGGCGATGAAAGATGGAAAATGTTTCATCTAAAATGCTGTTAAATAAGATAGATGAAGATTGTTTTCAAGTTAACGTGGCAACACATTTTTTGCCTCCTTTTTTATGACTCTTCAACTATTGTTTTTTATCTTTGCTTCCCTTTAGTCAGATAATGTCTATTGAAAGGTTCAACTGGATGGAATGCGAAAATGGGACCTTTGAATTTATCCTTCTCACAGTGCTAGGGCTTCCATCATGAGCCTCATCATTTTTGATTCTTTCAGACAAAAGGGAATGAAAAAGTGCATTAAATCGATTTCGATTTGTCGCTCTTCCATCTTTTTACCCTTAACTTTTTGCTGTTGCTTTTTTATTTTCTAAGTTAAGATAAAGTACCATTTTTGGAGCATCTTTTTGCCATCAACTGTGATTACTCTTTTTTTGTTCAACATTGTTGTTTCACTATTTAATCTGAAAATGAATGTGATGAGACAAAGATGAACTTCAAAAGAAAGTAAAACAAGAATTGAGAAGCAAAACTTTTCCAACATAATTTTATCGAAAAATTTCGTTAATCAAATAACTTTTTTGCGCTTCTTTCAGTGAATTAAAAGTGCATTTCAAAGTTGACTTTACCAGACAAGTTTACTTCGATAAATTGCACTTTGAGTGGATGTTAGAATAAAAAGACGAACGAAGCAACGAGCGATTTCTTATTATATTTCTAACCAATTTTTATGCAACTCGATAAGTTTTTCTTAAGATAGTTATTCTTATGGAACAATAATGATGAAGAATATTCAATCAAGCTCGAGTTTGAGGAACAAAAAGAATCGTCTATAATTGCACTTA